GGCCCCTCCACCGGGCCTGCCGCTTGTCACCACTAGGGGTCGGCAGTCAGCAAAATCCACGATTTCCCGCTATGATTTCACGGTGTCCCCGTGAAATTATTATTTTTATGAGACTGAACACGAGCTCTGTCCTAATGAGAACTCCGTGAGGTTCGGGAATGCCTGACATATATCAGATCCGGTCCGCTCTCCCTGGACAGACCTGCTACTGTGTAGAATCCTTTTGCAGTCAACCTGACACAGTCTCATGGACCAGAGTGGGATCACTTCATCTGCATCTGTAGGGTCCAGGTGGGGACATTAACGGAAGGACAGTGTCATGGGCAAAAGTCAGGGGAACATCCCAGAGACGGTGAAGCATCCAAGGCCTGGGACGGAAGGAAACCATTCCCTCCCTGGGGCGGAAAGACGAGGAAGATCCTGTTCTTGAGAAAACTGGAGCCCAGGGGTGAAGCCGCCCGCGGGGGGGCGGGGGGGAGTCTAGAGTCACAGACACACAACTGGTTTCAGAGAGGCAGTGAGGAGGGAAGAAGTACCTGGGCCTTCTCCTCCCCCCGCCCAGCCTGTCCAGTGCCTCCCGTTGGCTGACCCCAACCAGACGCCAAGTGGCAGGGGCGCCCCGGAGATGCAGGGTCGGCCTCTGGGGGACCGAGCAGCGCAGGAAAGGGCTACGGAAGGTGCAGCAGACAGGAAGCATCGAGGCAACATCCCGGACCCACTGCCGCACAGCACTCATGCCCGAAGCAGCAGGGGGTGGGATGAGAGTGTCCCGGGAAGGGACAGGGTGTGGGCCAGGGGGGAGGGGAGCAGGCACACAGGCTGCCCTGGTCTCACCGCCTCCCGTCCACCTGCAGTGTCCGTGAGCATCAGCAACCTGTACCCGGGCTGTGAGCACGTGAGCGTGAGGAGCCGCAGCATGATGTTCGAGCCGGGCCTCACCCGAGGGACCCTGGAGGTGCTGGTGGCCCCGCCCCAGCACCCACACTGCGCAGCTGACGACCAGTCCACTAAGGCCATCGACATCCAGAACGCTTATCTGAACGGTACAGTAGCCCGCCCGCCCCACAGGGGAGCACTCCCCTTTCCCTTCGCCAGGACTGAGTCAGACCCCTGTGGGAGCCTGTCCCCCTGCACCTGTCACAGCCCCCCAAGGACGGAGGAGGAGCCGCACAAAGCGACCTTAGGACTGACCCAGTGAAGCCAGGCTGGTTAATAGCCCTAACTAGTGAAACTAAACCCCATGCCCTCCCAGGCACCTAGCAAAGCCCCAGGCACGCAGTAGGCGCTTAATAAATGACTGTTGAGTAAATCGTTTTCTAAGCAGAGCAAATCATACACTTGGATTGGAAACCTCATAAAATTCAATCCCACTAGCAGTTTGACAAGTGCAAGCGTGAGAAGAGTTATCTTGAATACATCGACACTCGTGGCTGATGCTCTGCTGCAGGCGCGGGCGATTTTCTCCACAGGCAGAATTTCACGTGTGTTCTTTGCCCTCAAACATTTCCAAGGGGGTGAAGCTTCAGATGTTACCAGGGAAGGTTACTTTCTCCAGCAACCGCTGTGCCCCCTATGTCGCTCCCCCCAGCCCCCGGAGCTCCTGGGGCCCCCAGTTGTCCCACGTCACTTGAACACCAGCCCCTGCCTTGCGGAGGCAAAGTTTAGAGCAGGGATAAAGCGATTTCTTTGAGACCCATCTGTGAGGACCGTATGAGCTGATTCAAGCGCCTGGTAGTGTGTCTGGTACAGGGGAGGCGCTCAGAAAATGCCAATCGGGAGCATCTTCACGTAGGAATCTGTTATTACCGTGAACCCCGTGAACAATAGATGTCAGTGTGTGTCACCCCGAGCTGTGGCTCTTCACCTTCAGTGTGCAGGTGGGCCCCCTGCGGGGCTTGTTGAAGACACAGACTGCCGCCCTGCCCCCAGAGCTGCTGATGCGGCCGGTCAGGGGGGTTCCCAGGTGTTGCTGCTGCTGTTGGTCCGGGAACCCCACTAGGAGAACCACTGGATCCAGTGAAGTGGAATTTAAGTCCATGGGCATTTTCTCTTTTAAACGCTGAGTGTTCTCTGAGATCCCGGAGTGGAGGTGGCGTGCAGCCTGTCCTCAGCACCCCTCGCTCACCCGGCTCCTCCCCAGCCCCTCCCCCGCCCCAAGTCTGGCTCCCAGTGCTCCCAGTTCTCCCCGTGCTAGGGGACTATGCCTTTACTCCAGACCCTTCCCACTAACGCCTCAGCTGCCAGACCTAAGAGAGTCCTGTGCCCAGGGGTGCCTGTGCTCCAAGAGGAAGCTCCAGAAGAGTCCTTGGATCTTCCAGAATTAACTGTTGACTGCAGAATTTCTGACCCAAATAAGCACCGAGGGGAAGAACTAGTGAAAAGGAACTTGAAATCCTACAACATAAGTGGTCCTGCCTGGTTGCCCCAGAGGCCGGTGCATGGCTGGTCACCATCCTGCTGGAATGTGGTCGTGTAGGGCTGGGGGTGCCCACATGCTGGATAGTCACTGGGAGGTTCTAGGTGCCTTAGGAACTATAATCAGAGCCTCACCCACAGACACTTCCAAGAAAACCCTCCATACCCGGTGCTCAGGTATGAGGGAGCAACTGCCCCCCAACCCTAGGGCACACAGCCTTCTACCCTGCTTGACCCTTCTACTGCCCCCCACACTGGGTGAGCTTATGGACCCCACCTCCTCACAGTTCCATCCCCCTCCTTCAGATGCAGAACTGCTAATCAACTTCTGCTTCTTTCACATGTGCAGATAGCCTGCTCACTTCTGACCTACGTGAGCAGGTCGCTTACTCACCTGCGGCAGGTGGATGTAGTCATTATTGAACCAAAATTAAATTACATATCTTAGTGACTTTTACGTTCAAAATTGTATACCCTGTCATGTTCCAAAAAGAATTTATACCTATTTGAAGATTAGGGAATCTTACCACATACGTTCTCTGACTGTGTGAGTTTATTGATGGGGAACCCAAAGTCACCGGTTGGCTCTGACTCCTTCCTTGTGTGGGGTCATTCGTGTAGGGAAGTGGGGGGAGTGTGTGTGTCTTGAAGATGCATAGATAAACAGGTGGATGCTATGGACAGCACTCTGGGCAGTCCCTAAAGTGCTAAGAAAAATTGTGATTGGCATTTGCTGGTGGTGTTTCAGATAGTAATCTTTCTTCTCTCTGTAGGAGTCGGTGATTTCAGCGTGTGGGAATTCTCTGGAAATCCTGTATACTTCTGCTGTTATGACTACTTTGCCGCAAACGACCCCACGTCCATCCACGTCATTGTTTTCAGTCTGGAAGAACCCTACGAGATCCAGTTGAACCAAGTGATCTTCTGGCTGAATTTCCTGAAGTCTCTTGTGCCCGTTGAAGAACCCATCGGTAAGCTAGCACACCCCGGTGTGTGAGCGCCCTTCCCTCTGGGCGGATCTGCAACCCCGGGCTAACGGTGAGGCTCCCCTGGTCTGTCCTTCCTGCAATGAGAGTCCCGCTCTGGACGGTTCCTGAGGCCCAGCTGCTCCCTTTGTTCGCAGGGAGTTATTACAGGATCACATTTTCCTGCCCTCTTCAGAGACCAAGTCTGAGCAATTCCTTGGGAACCGTTTCTCACTCTCTCCCTACACATTAGAGCTGCGGTCACTTTGGTTGGGTGGGAGTGGAATCCGTCCTTTGATGGCCTCTGTGCCTCTACCTAATGGTACGTGATGAATAAGCAGAATGAGCCCTCCTCCATTCTGTAGTTCCATCAAGAATGGACGGGACCATACTGAGTGAACGTATTATCTTAACTTTATTCCTAGAGCAGAAGACAGCGTGGAATACACTTTTGTTCCTTTCCATGGTGGACACTGGGCTATCCATTTTTTTCTTCAAAAATTATAGAATAATCAAATAATTGGACTTAACCTCCTCAGGGTACCTCCACTCTGCCTCTTTCTTTCTCATTCTTTTTGATGTTTTCTTCCTAAACACTCCCCTGAGGAGAGGCTCTCTGTCTGTGTGCACCACAGGAGATCCTCTCAGCCATTTCTGGGTGTTGCTGCATTCAGAGGGCTTTCTTTGTCTTGTAAAGGGTGCACCTGCCCAGAGTTCGATTTCCCCTCACCATGCAAGCAGGGCCCCCTTGGAGGAAGAGCTGAGCTCCCACGTCATGTTCTGTGGTCTGAGCCCAGGAAACAGGCTCATCCCGATGTTGGCCAGGCCTGGGCCTTCTTGCAGTGAGCCCACACGGTGGGCAGGTTGCACATCCAGAGGCCAGCATGGCCCCCCACCCCAGGGACGCGAGGCAGCCAGGAAGGAGGACCCACCTGTGACACGCCTGCTTTCTGCCCCCAGCCTTCGGCGGCAAGCTGAAGAACCCGCTGCATGTCGTCCTGGTGGCCACCCACGCCGACATCATGAACGTGCCTCGGCCGGCTGGAGGCGAGTTCGGATATGACAAGGACACGTCCTTGCTCAAGGAGATCAGGAACAGGTGAGGGCGTCGCTGGTGGCAGGGGCCATCCCACAGAGCTCACAGACACAGAGGAAGGGATTGGAGGCCTCCTTTGCTTGGTTGGCTTTTGTGGTATCGTTTTTATTTTTATCAAAACATTGAAAACATAACAGATGCAACAGAAGTAAAGAGCACGGGATAAAAAACAACAAACTATGCACTTCTTTCCTCACCTCCCAGTACCACTGCCCAGGGGGAGCTTCTGGTAGGGGTTTCATGCATTGATTTTCCACTTTCTGGAGGCAGCTCTAGTTGACAGGTAACATTATCTACTTAACATCCACATCGTGGTGATTTGACGTCCGCGGCGCCCATCTAGCTAGTTAGCGCATCCATCACCTTCCAACTCTCTCTCTTTTCTCCTTATTTCTTTTTATTATTTTTTGGTGAGAATGTTTCTCACCCCAAAATGTTTAAGTTCAACCCTTAGCAAGGGGCGCCTGGGTGGCTCAGTCGTTAAGCGTCTGCCTTCGGCTCAGGTCATGATCCCAGGGTCCTGGGATCGAGCCCCGCATCGGGCTC